TCTGCATGTGTTTTTTTCTTGTGTCTAAGATTAATCAAATCCTCCCACTTTGAAAATGATAAACACATCATCAGTCATTTCATCCCACTCTAACATTACTAAGCAATACTTTTATATGCAAAGAAGGCCCACTCTCTTTCCATGTGCTTTTCCTTCGGCTCATTCTCTACAGGTTTGTACTTAATACGAACTTAAATTCTTTTGGTTTTTATGTGCAACAATATTCGAGACATTACTGGCATTTTTTCTCCCGTACAGATCATGTTTCTACTTGTTTTTGCCAAAACAAACAAAGATAAAAAAGCTTCAAGACAAAAAGTCCAGTTCAAATTCCAGTGTTAAATACAGCTAATCATCTTCTGTGTGACAGTCATCGTTCATTCCAGTCTGAGACATCTCTTCTGGAAGTTCAATCGACACCAGAGCTTTACAAACATGGGCTGGACCCACTGCATCATTTGGTGAGTGTGATGAAGATTTTTTAATTTGTTTGTTGTATTAAAGAATCTTTTATTTCGGTGAATTTCTCATTAAGCTCATGGAGCCCATCAGTATTGCAGAGCTTTTTGTTATATGTTTTTTAATCATTATGCTTCATCTACAACCAATGTTCTAGACATATAGCTGTTAAAGTTGAAGACGTTGAACAAATTGTTAGTAATGTAGAAGAAATCAGCTTGGTGATTGAAGAAAGTTGATGTTAAAATTAAAGTGAAAATCAGCGGTTGTGTCACTTTATTTGCTCTTGTTCTGTTTGCATCAACTTTGGACGACTGACTCAGCTCCAGCGCTCTGTTTATTTGCTTTTCCAGGTTTCTGTGGTTTTCAGTGAGTGAGTGCCAGCAGCTGTCCACCACTGAGCCTGAAATGCACGGACAAATCCAGTCTCCCCAATATCCGCGACCTTATCCTCCCCACCTGGAAAAGCAATGGGACCTCTGGGTTCCCAGGGGTTACCAGATCCAGCTGTCTTTAACACATCTGGATATTAAAGTTTCTGCAGGCTGCAGTCAAGACTCTCTCACAGTCAGAGCTTTGATTAGATCTGAATTTTAAAAATATTTCAAACAAGACACAAAACTTTTTATATTGCAGTTTTCAATTTTAGTGTATTCTTTCATTCAGTTTGACTGGAAGTTAATTTATATTTTTAATAAATGTTTGCGTACGTGTTTTACAAAAGCAGTTTGTTAACATGAGTTTTGACTTAATTTTCCAGTTTTTCTACGATGAAAAGGTTTTGGGAAGGTTTTGTGGCCAGGGAAACTCTACTGATCACCATGGTGACGAGACGATCCTTTCTCCAGGCAACAAACTGACTCTCGTATTCCAAACAAGTGACTCTACACCAGAGCATCAACAACATACTGGTTTTTCTGCCACGTATAAGGCAATAGGTACAGTTTTCCTGAAATTTTCCAACTCCCATTAATGTACTATTTCATCAACAGCTTCAGGAAAAGTTTAACACAGTAAATATTCTTTAAATAGACATAGACGAGTGTTCCAAAACAGACCCAGGACTGGATTCAGGTCCACTTTGCTCTCAAATCTGTATCAACACTGCTGGGTCCTACCGCTGCTCCTGCCACAGTGGTTACAAGCTTCATTTAGACCAGCGCACATGTCTGTGTAAGTGTCGAATACAAGAAATGAGGCCTTTTAGTACATTAATACTTGTCATATGAAGCTCAGTCGCTAGAATATGGTTGAGGTGGTATGCTGATTACTGATTCTCTTACTGTTATTATTATACTGACCTTTGGTTCTTGCCCAGTGTCCTGTGGTGGGTGTGTTTTTGACAAGCATGAAGGACATCTGTCCAGTCCAGGGTATCCTAAACCCTCACCCCCTTTTCTCTCCTGCAAGTACATCATCTCTGTGGAGCCCAGATTCATCGTGACGCTCAACTTCAGAGACAATTTTCACATTGATAATAAAGATAATCAGCATGGTTCAAGCTGCCAAGGTCACTTTTTACAGGTAACGACTCGCGGTACCCACAGGGATTAAAAGTTACAAACCATGCTCCTCTGGTCTGTATGCAGCCTTCCACTATCTCTCCCCTCATAGGTGACCATTCCAGGCAGATTAGCTATGAAATTTTGTGGAACAAAGAGTCCTGGTCTGATAGTTACGAACTCAAGTACAGTCAGGCTGGACTACCACACTGAGGAGGAAGGTCTGAGCAACGGCTGGAGCCTGCAATATAGCACACATGGTGAGGAGGAGAGGTGACATTTCCACGTTAGCAGTTTAAAACTATTTTTCTCATGCTGTTCATTCATGTTTGGTTGCTGCGTTCTTTACAGAGGTGAAATGTCCACACCCAGGGAGTGTGACAAAAGGCAGCATCACTCCTGATTTAAATGAATACTTTAGTGGAGACTCGATCCATGTCACTTGTGACCAAGAATACAAGTTGATGATGGTAATATGACATTTCATTGTTTACTACAGTGTGCATCAGTGAACTTTATTAACAGCCTCTTTTCCCTCACAGGATATTTATAGAGGTTTTTTTTGCTATCTGCATGTGTCTGTGTTTGAGCAACAGAAGCAGATCTTTCTTCATTTTTCTTTAGGTTTTTTCTTTGGTGAATTTGTCAATTAGAAAATGTGTGTAACAGTCATATATTTTCAGGGACAACAAGAGATTAAGACATTCTCAGCCATGTGTCAAAGCGACGGGCAGTGGCAACTCCCTCTCCCAACCTGCATAGCAGGTACTGATGTGCTGTCAAAATAAAATACTCTAATAACAAATTTAGGACTTCAAAATGAAAGCATGAAGCCTTTGCTTACACCTGAGTTCTGTTCATCTTATCCAGTTTGTGGTCAGCCAACAAATCACATCAATGTGTATCAGAGGATCTTTGGAGGCCAGAACGCTCCAGATAATACAATCCCCTGGCAAGTGCTACTGAGTGTAAGTGGAAACAGGGGAGGAGGCATGGTGATTGGAGACCGGTGGATTATGACAGCAGCTCATTATGTAGTAAATAGGGGAGTGGTGGTATCAAATGAATCTGTACGGGTAAGTAGTTGACTGTGAGCATTACTTTGTATGATCTCTGTCTGATTGGGATTCCCTTGGTAAATGTTTCCTTTTATGATAATGACTTGCAGATTTTCATGGGACTTAATGAGGTAAAAGCCCTCGAGAAATCTCCTCTGTTTGCTGCCTCAATCCATGTTCACCCTGAGTACAACA